TTTGGTCATTGGGAACCTTCTCAAATTGACGAGTTTTGTTTTTGTGTTTTTTTTTTTTTTTTTAAGATTTATTTATGCATACAAGGTACAGGCCAGAGGTGTGGGGGGTGAGAGGACTCACCGGAGACAGAGTGGGGAACAGAACAGGCAGACTGACTGAAATACACTGCTGAGGGGAGCAGCAGGCAAGTCAGGAGAGGTCTGCTACGCCATTTGGGTAACTCCCCAGCTGGGGATCAAACTTGTGCTGCAGTAGCTGTGGATAGCTTCATAGGTTGCGTCTTAACCCCTTGGGCCACCAGGGAGGCCCAAGGTCTGTAGTTTTTCACCTCAGTCACTGTATATATTAAACCATGCCCACCATCAAATGTCCGTTCACCATCAACCACCAACCAATTCAAATAATGTAATTTCATTCCAAGTTTTGTCACAATGTATGGTGTCGCACTGTTTCCAAAATTGTGTTTGTCCATGTACCTTTTATTACAGAGGATGACTATAAGTTTTCCACAAACATGTTGAACAATGCTTGTAATAAATAATGGCAATTATGGAACTTCCCAGTCATCTTCCTTTCTCATATGTCCAGCTATCTATGTATTTATCTATATAGCTATTAATCTGCAGGGTTAGCAGCAATGTGTTTATATATATATAGGGTATCCAAGAGGTAGGTTCTATTATCCCTGTTTTACTGCTGAAGAAATTGAGGTACAGTTTTGTGACTTGTGTAAGGCCATACAGCTAGCTATAAATGGCAGAAACCAAGATGCCGATCTACCATTCTTGCCTCACCGTCTGCTCTCAGCTACTCTGCTATATTTCTGTTCCACAGTGTTAGGCAATAGTAAGCATACTTTCTAATTGGGCCAGAGTTTAAGTGAAGTGTGACACACATTTTCCATCAACTTGGGGGACAAAGAGCAAACATGCCTCAATCTCTTTCCCTTTCGGGGTAGTGAGAGGATGTGGGATAGGGTCTTTAACTCACAACATGCTGATCACGCCACAGAAATCCTTTTCTGATATTTAACTCTTTGACATTAAAGGTGGGTATAACTCAAGGTAGAAAGTTTTCTACTACCCCTCCCTGCATAAGTAGACTTCTACCTCTACTTAGAATGGAGTGTCTGTTGCTTGGTTTCATTTTAAAAACCCTGTAGCACATGTTTTTCAAATATGCTATTTAATCTCTTGTCTTCATACCTCTTCATACAGATGGTCCCTAGATTAAGACTTTCACTTCCCCTGTAGGCATGTTTCCTCCCTGAACCACATGATCCCAACAAACTAAGCTTTCTTGATGGCAAGGCTGTGAAAGAAGTCAGTTTCTGAGGTGTAGCCATTGAATAAAAATCTTTATATGTAGCTCTCCCATTTTCTTCCTCTTTAATCTCATTCTTTATGGAAATCTGCAGGTAATATTAAATTTACTTAGACCAGTCCTGAGCTACCTAGTGTCTCATTGTGATTACTTGTCTTTGGGAAGAGTATATAGAGGAGGCTAATATTTGAACTGTTTTTTTCTGATTATCATCAAGACAGTTATTTCAGCTGCCTTAACTGGCTGTCTTGGCACAGGATTTTACACTTTTTGTTTTTTCTGTTATCAGACAAAGAAGAGCCCCAGGTTGATCATTTTGTGTTCCCATATTAGAATATTGAGTGATCTCTTTATATTCACTTGATTAGAAATCTTGAGATTTTTTTCTTTTCTCCTTGACATATACATTTACCTGCATAGAACATTTGAAGGGATGTCTATGTCATGAATTGTTTGATGTTTGAATTGACATTGCCCTCTAAATGTGCTCACATTTAGAATATTTTACAATGTCTGTTAGTAATGTGTTCACTTTGTGCAGGGAGGCACATCGAGATGTAAGCCTTCACTGAGATAGTGTGTGATTCCATACTAACCCAGAACTGCCTTCTACTTTATCACTTGGCAAAATTCTACTTTCAGTAGGTCCTGTCCTCTCTGATGCCTCTTTTGCCTTCAACATTCAGAAATAAGTATTCCATTCCCTACTGTGGCACACCTCTTAAAGTCTTAGGCATAAGGACTGTAAATTTATTGAGATCAGTGAAAATGTTTTATTTGACCAGTAGGTCTTCAAATAACATCATTTTGCTTAACATTATAACGTTAATGAGGGGGAAAATTTCAATTCCTGGCTGGGACCACTGCCTATGTGGCACTTACATATTTTCCTTTTGTTTTTGTGGGTTTTTGTTTTTCTTTTGTTTTTCTCCAGGGACTTCTGTTCTCACATCCCAAAGATGTGCATGTTATGTTCATTTACGTGTCTAAATAGACCCAGGAGGAGTGAATATGAGTGTGTGTGTATGTGTGTGAATATGACCCTTTGGTGGAAAGGCATTGTGTCCAGTGTTTACCGCTTTGTGCCGTGAGTTGCTGGGTTATGCTCCAACCATCTGTGACCCCACTAACTAGAATAAGCAGATTGGAAAATGAATGTGTGAATATGAACGATTGTTTAATATTAGAGCTATTTTGTGTCTTTATTTAAAAGTTTGGTGAAGTTTCTGCAGCAGTTAGCCTGTGGTAATATTGGTTTAGTTATACATCATTTCGATTAAAGACACAGATTCTAAGAACCTGTTGACAATGTTAAGTGAGGACTTACTACTGTACACGTGTTTCTCCCCTTTAAGTACCTTACATCTAATAAGTCCATTATTTAAGTTTTTGATAATATAAATTAAATCAGCAGGGTATGATAGTACTATTAAAATATATGAAACAGTAAAGTTAGACCCAGTTCTCATTTATCATACCTATCAGACTACAATCCGAGGATTGCAGGGATGTTAATCAAATTTTAAGGTGCACTTAAAGGAATTAGGGATGTTTAGTTTAAAGAAGAGAAACCTGGGGTCTCCCTGGTATCCTAGGGGTTAAGTCTCAGCGCCGTCACCACTGTGCCCTGAGTTTGATCCCTGCCAGGGAGCCAACCCACATATGGAGCAGCAGACTTCTCCTGTCTCACCTGCTGCTCCCCTCAGCAGTGTATTTCAGTAAATCCACCTGTTCTGCTCCCCACTCTTCTCTGGTAAATCCTCTCACCACCACTACCCCACACACACACCTGTAGCCTACACCCCCGTTCTATGCAAAAATAAGAGAAACCTTAAGAGAGTGGATTGTGATTGCCATTTTCAGATTTGAAAAGTTCTCTTGAGGAAAGAAAAAAGTAGACCTCTACTCTGACTTGAATTTGAGTCGAGTAATTGAAACCCCAGGGTTTTGCAGCAGTATGGTGAATGTTTGTTTTAAGAAGTATGTAAAATAAGAGTGAATTCTGTGCTCCTATCAGTCATTCTCTTGAATATTTTGAAAGCTGTTATATATATGCAGACATTCTAAGGATCATGGCTCCCATTGGGAATTCATGAATCTTTGCCTAATACCTCATGTTCTCTTGCATACAAATATGCACACACACATTTCACAAAGATGGGATCACAATCTATATACTCTTACATTTTTTCACTAAATGAGTAATAGAACTACCTTCTTAAATGTTCACTTTTTCCATAATCTTGTATTCATTTAATGCTCAAACTAATCATTTTTCTAGGTCCATTAATAATCATCTTTAATATTCTATATTGGTGGGCCTCCCTGGTGGTGCAAACAGGTTAAGTCTCAGTACTATGAAGATATCAGCCGCCACTGCAGCACAAGTTCAATCCCCGGCCAGGGAGCTGACCCACATGGCGCATGTAGGTCTTGCCTACTGCTCCCCTCAGCAGTGTATTTCAGTCACTCTGCCTGTTCTGCTCCCCATTCTGTCTCTGGTGAATCCTCTCACACACACACACACCCCTCTGGCCTATACCCTAGCTCTTGTATGCATAAATAAATACCTTTAAAAAAAAAAAACACTCTATAAGTGTATCCCCATATTTGCTTTGTTTTTCATTTATGTTAGTACTAACTAAAAAAAATTTTTTATCTTAGATAAAATAATTTATGTACATAGTTGTTTATTTTTGCAGTGAAAACAGTGTGATCTAAGAATCAGAAGGCTCAGATCTTAGTTTTGGTTGTCATTTGTTAGTCATTAACTTCTCTGCAAATTAGTTTTCTTACCTTCATCAAGGGGCTAATATGAACCTCCCTTACTTCACATAAAGATTGTAAAAAGAAGTTAGAAAAAAATACAAATTAAAGCATTATTAGATTTGCTAAATTAAAAGTATTTGAAAATGTCAATTTTTATAGTTTTGGTAAATGTGAAACTTGAACTGATAAAGGCAAGCCAGCTCTTTTAAGGGAAAATTCAGTTTATTACTAAATTTTTTTTTTATAAATTTACTTCAAGAAAGGTGAGTTTTTTAAATATTAGTAATCTAAACAACAAAAATTGCTACTCTCATTTGTTGACCTGTCACAAAGTATCAAATATTTTGCTAAGTATTTACAGCATGCATTATTTCAGCACTTTTAACAACCTTGGAGAAGTTTCCAGTCCTACCCAAGTCTAAAATTTTGATTCTTGACCCCCTATTTACTTATACTATACCCTAAAAGAGGTAGCGAGTACAGGTTCTAGAGCCTGCCTGTCTGGATTTGAGTCCTGGGTCTGCCACTGCAATAGCTTTTTTACTTCAACCAAGGTAGTTAACTCTTCTGTTAAATGAGGGTTACCTACTAACAGATAGGACATAAATCAGCAAATACAAAGCATTTAGACAGTGTCTGGCACATAGAAAGCACTCTATGATTGCCATCATTTACAAATTATTAAAACTATGCAGGTCATTAAAATAGTTTACTGTCTTCACTGCTTCCACAGATTTGGGGACAGTTGGAGAAGTATATATTTTAATATATTCCCTACCTTGAACTTTTCACAGTCATTCAGTTTTTTTATTTAGCATAGTGACTTCATGCAAATGATCTAAATCACCTGCTCTTTTGACCATGAGACCATCAACTAATGGTTTATGTGTTTTTTTTTTTTTTTTAGGACATTTCTGATTCATTTGCATCCTTGAAAAGCATCTGCAGAAGAGGAAGGAAAAGATGGGTGTGAAAACATTTACTCATAGCTCCTCTTCCCACAGCCAGGAAATGCTTGGAAAGCTAAATATGCTGCGAAATGATGGACACTTCTGTGATATCACTATTCGTGTCCAGGACAAAATCTTTCGGGCACACAAGGTGGTACTAGCAGCTTGCAGTGATTTCTTTCGCACCAAACTTGTAGGCCAACCAGAAGATGAGAACAAGAATGTGTTGGATTTGCATCATGTTACAGTGACTGGCTTTATACCCCTTTTAGAATATGCTTACACCGCCACTCTGTCAATTAACACAGAAAATATCATTGATGTTCTAGCTGCCGCCAGTTATATGCAAATGTTTAGTGTTGCTAGTACCTGCTCAGAGTTCATGAAATCAAGCATTTTATGGAATACACCCAACAGCCAACCAGAAAAGGGCCTAGACGCTGGACAAGAAAATAATTCTAACTGCAATTTTACATCTCGTGATGGAAGCATTTCTCCAGTATCTTCAGAGTGCAGTGTGGTAGAAAGAACCATTCCTGTCTGCCGAGAATCCAGGAGAAAACGCAAAAGCTATATTGTTATGTCTCCTGAAAGTCCTGTTAAGTGTAGCACTCAAACAAGTTCTCCCCAGGTATTGAATTCTTCAGCTTCTTATTCAGAAAATAGAAATCAACCTGTTGACTCTTCCTTAGCTTTTCCCTGGACTTTTCCTTTTGGAATTGATCGAAGAATACAGCCTGATAAGGTTAAGCAGGCAGAAAATACTCGGACATTAGAATTACCTGGCCCATCTGAGACAGGTAGAAGAATGACTGATTATGTGACTTGTGAGAGCTCAAAAACTTCCCTGCCTCTGGGTACTGAAGAAGATGTCCGAGTTAAAGTAGAAAGGTTAAGTGATGAGGAGGTCCATGAGGAGGTATCCCAACCTGTCAGTGCATCTCAGAGTTCGCTGAGTGATCAGCAGACAGTGCCAGGAAGTGAACAAGTCCAAGAGGACCTTCTGATTAGTCCACAGTCTTCCTCTATAGGTATAACATCTTCTGTGTTTTTCATGATGCTATAAAGTTAATTCAAGGATTTTTAAGTGCCAATCCAATTAAAAATTTTTGTGGGTCTTTTGGGAAATATGAAGAAGATTAAAACATGGTAATTGGATTTTTTAAATGCTTTTAGTACTATCAGTTTTTTGGTTTTGTTTTTTTTTTTTTCAGCCTACATATTGTGAAGAAAGAATATTGTTTTGACTAAATCTAATGGCACAAAGGCAGATATATTGACAGAAATATATGAATTGTGAATTACTTTCAATGAAGCAAGTATCAATTTAAAAAATCCAATTAGTGTTTTGTTTATTAAAATATTTATTGATAACTTGCTATGTGCCAAACATTGGAGATACATGATTTAAAAAGGCACAGTCCCTGAATCTGAGGATGTAATAGTTTTATTGAGGAAACAGATGTATAAATCAACAATTAGTGCTAATCTAGAGGAATTAACCAAGTGTCAGGTTCATAGAGGAAAGAGCAAGTTAACACTGTATATTTGAGCTGGATCTTAATAAGTATAAGTTTGCCTTGGCAAAGAAATGGCATTTCTTTGCACATGTATAAAAGAGGTGTGGAAGAGCTTTGAATGTTTGGTAAGCAGTGAATTCAGTGCAAAATGATGTGAATAAAACATGGATGCCTGAAAGTAAAGGAAATAATGGGAGACAAGATAAAATATACAGTTGAGTGCTTGTTGTGAAGGGATTGCATTCAACTGCATGTAATAAAATCCCTTCAAAGTGACTTAGACTAAACAGAGTTTTCTCTTTTTATCACATAAAATGCTTAGATAGGAAGTCCAGTTCTGGCACAATGGCTCCACAATATAATCAGTGCCTAGACTCCTTATATATTTGTAGTCTACCATCCTTAATTTGTCCTTTTCACCAATGTACATATGCTGCAAGGTTATAAGATGCTTTCTTCATCTTTAGCTTCATATTCTAGAATAGTCAACACTTATATCAGGAAAACACAGATGTTCCCAGAAAGCCCTAAAATACTTCTGCCAAATTATGTCCTGTGGTCCTGCCTTGCTACAAGGCAATCTGGGAAGACAGGCATATTAGTTGCATATGTCTCTCCTCAAACAAAATTAGAAGAGAATGGATATTGTTTTCAACTAACAGTATCTGCCACAACTAGGTCAAGTAAGCTAATTGTAGTAAGGAATCTCCCTTCTAGGAGTGAAAAATAAAACATTTATAACCATTTTAAGAAAATTTATTTGACATTGGTACTCAGAGGGTTTGGCTGGGCAGAAACTGAGAAAGTAGTTCTAGTACAGTTGTCTTTGTATGAATAAAGATGCTTAGAGTAAAACTATTTTAAAAATGGGTACTAAAAGATTTTATAAAGTAAGACTCATTATTACCTGATGATACAGAATTAATGTAGTAAGGATATAGGAGAGATCAGAATACTCTGGATGACTAGGAAAATAGTGATAACAATTTTATTATATTCTGATATATCTTACAATCAATAATCTTTTACAGTTACAAAGTGAAAATCAATGGAAGGAGGTGGGAACCCAGTTTTAAGAGCAAGCCAAATTACGCTTGGATGATAACCAAGAAATATCGTGGCCAAAGAGCTATTGAAAAGGCAGTATTGTTAAGATCAAAACTGAAGATTTTGGAGCTATTAGCCCTAACACATTGACTCTTAACAGGAAAATTTACGTACAGACACTAAAATCAAAGGACTAAACTTGAGAAATACCTATATTCAGAGAGAATAAAAGCTGACAGAGTAAAAAGGATTTCTAAAAAAAACTGGAGAATCAGGAAGGCCATGCTATCTTTGTTAATTTCTTGAATTTTGACTCTACGAGTTTCCCAGTGCTGCCAAAACATAGTATCACAAACTGGGTGATTTAAAAAGCTAATTTATTGTTTAACCGTTCAGAACAGATTCTGAAATCAAGGTGTTGGCAGGAGTCATTCTTCCTTTGAAGACTGCAAGGAAGACTCCTTTCTGGCCTTGCCTCTCCCTAACTGGCTGTCACTAATTCGTCTTAATATCCGTTGACGTGCTGTGTCCCTCCAATTGCTACCTCATTCTTAATGTGGCTTCCCTGTGTCTCTATCTCTAATTCCAAATTTCCTTTGTATAAGGTCACCACTTATTTGGTGAAAACCAAAGACAAATATAATTCTGGGTAATCCACAGTTTACTATTTTAACAAAGAAATTCATCTTTTTTTAAGATTGAGAATTCTTACATAAAATGATTTTTATGGGAGAGGTAGTTGGTAAGGTTTTAAGAAATAATTTGATAGTTTTCTCAGTAGCCGTAATGAATAGATGAATTATTGAGGTACGTAGCTAGAAAAATGGTAGAATTACAACATTAGACAGAGAAACAGTACAGGATAATGATTAAAAGTTGAGTTTGACAAATCTAGATTCTGCTACTGATTTCTACCATTTAATAGATGTGTGGCTTTGAGCAAGTCACTTAACTGGAGTTCCTATAACCATAATGAAAGGATAATAACTATCAAGTATGTCAGTGCCCTCCAGGAAAATAACTATATTTTTAATATCTGAAAATCTCCATCAGTAATCACAAATACACAGGATTAATTAGTGTGCAACAGGTACATGTAAACCATATGTCCACTGAAGAAGTAATATCTTAGGGGTAGGCATATTGGGAATTTACATGTTATTCATAACAACAGGAGTGAACCAGTTTTTTGTCCTTTAAAATAGATAAATTTGGGCCTCCCCGTGGTGCAGCAGTTGAGAACTGGGTTGTGAAGCTGCCCGTAGCCTCTGCAGCAACGGTTCGATCCCCGGCCGCAAGGGGAGGGTCCCACATGGCATACAGACCTCTCCTGCCGCCCGCTGCTCCCCTCAGCAGTGTATTTCATCAGTCTGCTTGTTCTGCTCTCCGCTCTGGCTCTGGTGAATTCTCTCACCCTCCCGCGCTTCTGACTGTACCCAGTGCTTGTATAAATAAATGAATAAATCTTTTTAAAAAAATAAAATAAATTCCAGGCCTCCCTGGTGGCACAAGGGGTTAAGATGCGGCCTATGAAGCTGTTCGCAGCCACTGCTGCACGTGTTCTATCCCTGGCCAGGGAGCTACCCACATGGCGCAGCAGACCTCTCCTGACTCACCCACTGCTCCCCTCGGCAGTGTATTTCAGTCAGTTCGCCTGTTGTGTTCCCCACTCTGTCTCTGGTGAATCTTCTCACCACCCGCCCACACACACACCTCTGGCCTGTACCCCAGTTCTTGTGTGCATAAATAAATCTTTAAAAAAAAAAAAAGAAATTCCTTCAGTAGAATTAATCAGTTCCTGCAAACCAAGCTGAAATGTACTCCAAAGAGAACCTACTATCCCAATCAGAATTATTAGAAAGACACTTTCTGATTGGATAATCCTTAACCAATAGGATTATAATAACTTCAGCAGAAACATTTTGGTGATGTGAGGCCAAGATCCAGTTGGTTTTTTTTTTTTTTTTTTTTTTAAACTAAGGTTGAGTAATGTGATACGATATGGGGTTCTTAGAAAAGAGTCTACCCTGAAATGTGATTTTTTTTTAAATAAATTTTATTTTTATATTCCCCTTACAATTGCAATCCCCTTATTTTGACCCCAATCCCTCCCCTCCCCACCCCCCACCACCCATAGAGTGTCTCTGGTTCATAGTTGTTTGTTGATTTTGATTTTCACTTTCTTATAGTTATTCATTTTCCTGGTCCCTTACTTAAGTTTTCTAGATTCCTGTTATGAGTGAGACCATCCGGTATTTTTCTTTTTCTTTCTGGCTTATTTCGCTGAGCATGATCCCTTCCCGCGCCATCCATGTTGCTGCAAATTGCATGTGTTTATCTTTTTTGAATGCTGAGTAATATTCCATGGTGTATATGTACCACATCTTGATCCAGTCATCTATTTTTGGGCATTTGGGTTGTTTCCAAAGCTTAGCTATTGTAAATAGTGCTGCTATAAACATAGGGGTGCAGGTGCTCTTTGGAATTGATGTTTCTGTGTCCTTTGGGTAAATACCTAGGAGTGGAATTGCTGGATCATATGGAAGCTCTATGTTTAGTAGGTCAAGAAATCTCCACACAGCTCTCCATAGTGGCTGGACCAGTTTGCACTCCCACCAACAGTGCAGGAGAGTTCCTTTTTCTCCACATCCTCGCCAACATTTGTTGTTGCTAGTTTTTTTAATATGTGCCATTCTCACTGGTGTAAGATGGTATCTCATGGTAGTTTTAATTTGCATTTCCCTGGTAACAAGTGATGTTGAACATTTTTTCATATACCTGTTGGCCATGAAATGTGTTGATTTTTAAAAAAGATTTATTTATGCATACAAGAACTGGGGTCTAGGCCAGATGTGCAGGGGGTAAGAGAATTCACCAGAAACAGAGTGGGGAGCAGAACAGGTGGATCTACTGAAATATACTGCTGAGGGAAGCAGCGGGTAAGACAGGAGAGGTCTGCTGCGCCATGTGGGTTAGCTCCCTGGCCAGGGATCAAACTCATGTCGCAGTGACTGGCAGAAGCTTGATAGACTGAGACTTTTAACCCCTGTGCCACCAGCGAGGCTTCTGTCCTGAAATGTTTAAAGTTTTTACATTTTTGTCAACTGGATCAGATGGAAGATCATAGATCCAGCAGTCTATTCAGAGTAGTAGCTGCAATCTAAAAAAAACATAGAAGAGTTTTGTTTTTCCCTACTTAGGTGGTCAGAAATAATTGAATGAAGATGAGAGATTGTTTCAGTCATAATAGACAAAATTAGTAATAAAGAAATGAAAAGTCTTAAAGTCAGGGCAGAAGCTATCCACTTTTTAATATAGTAGTCTTCTGGAGAGTCCTCAGAATATGTAATTTAAGGTCTTCTAATGGAATTGGGTGGATGTACAGTAGTCAGAAGGATGTGCTATTTATCTTTTAAGTTGGGAAATATGAATCCAGTGACCAACACTTTGAAGTTTTATGGCTG